CCCCTCCCTTCGCCTTGCTTTCTCCCCTTCCTTCCCTTTCCCACCCTCCCCTCCTCTTCCTTTTCCCCCTCCCCTCCCTTTCTTTCCCCCCTCCCTCCCTTCCCTTCCTCTCTTGGTTTGTTTACTTGACAGCTGGGCTGTTGCATAGGGCAGCCACTAGCCACATGTGGTCATTTAAATTTAAATTAACTAAAATTAAACACAACTAAATATTATGGCTCCGCAGTTGCATTGGCTCCATTGGTGGTGCTCATAGCCATGTGTGGTTTGTGGCTATCGTGTTGGACAGCACAGATATAGAACATGGCTGTGGGTGTAGGGAGTTCTGTTGACCTTGTGGTTTGGAGCATTCCCGCACCTTCAGTTTAGTCCTCTCTGAGTTTCTGTGTTTTAGTGTCTCCATGGAATCTGGCTGTCATGCTCGGTGTCTGCACCCAGTAGTGTGAACTCACTGGGGGCAGGGACCCTGCTGGCTAGGTATCCTTTGCTGTGCGGGCTTGTGTTGATGCTCACTGACTGAGCAGGTGAATGGGCCAGTGAGACATGGGAGGTTCCTCCTTCCTACATGTTGGTGGACATGGAGGAGGCTCTTGGGGGCTGCTTGGAGGATGCCATTAGAGCCCAGTCCTTTTGCACAAATGCACACAGTTCCTAAGACAGATGACAGTGGGACACTGTCAGTTGAAGAGGGTCTTTAGCAGTGGCCTCCACGCTTCTTGAGCTTTTGACATGACCTCAGGGACCCCTCATTTCTAGACAGAATGTCTTGGGAGCTCTTTGGAAGCTGGAAAGATCCCTGGGTGTGGGAATGGGCAGGACTTCCAAAGCTCTTCACCTGTCTGTCCACAGACAGAGGATTCCTTGGCCACTAGGCTGGTCCCTGGCACAGCTGCATGACGTCTCTTCTGAAGAGCAAGCCATTTTCAGACCGCATTTAGGGCTCGTAGCTCAGCCCCATGGGACACCTGTGGCTGGCTTGAAAAGAAACTGTCTTTATCTCTTCATCTTTTTTCTGTGTGTTCACTTAAAAAAAAAATTGCTCACCCCTTTTAAATTCCAAAGAAAAAAGATGAATAAGAACTTATATATGACTTAGGACACTTAAATAATTTAACCTCCATGTAACCCTTTGAGGCAATGTGTATCATTGTCTCATCTTACAGATGAGAAAACTGAAGCCCAGAGAAGTCAGGCGACTTTCCCAGGATTAAACTGCGTGCAGGTTTCAGTGCTGGATCCATATCCATGGCTCATCTCCAGAGCTGTCTTCTCGCCACTGGGCCATACTGCCTGTCCTTGCTACTGAGTTACAGGCAGAAATACCCACCCTCATGCAAAAATGGCTCCACATGGTTGAGAACTGTCTTTCCAGGGCCTGCTGGTGTGCCAGACATCAAATGCTGAGTACCAGGCAGTACAGCCCTGCCCTCTGGCATACGGAGCCAGCCCGGTTGGCTCCTGAGATGAGTAGGGAGGGGACAGCTGGCTCTAGGCCACCTCTGCCCGCATGTGGGGCAGTAGAGGGGGGGGAAGGGATGTGACCGAGGTGGGGGTCTCAGCGCAGGGGGAAGGGAGTGAGCAGGCCTGTGACATCACCCTAGCAGGTTTTGGGGCCAAGCCCTGTGGGAAAAGCACTCATCCCATGAATGATGGAGTGCCCAGAGTTGAGTTGGGTGCTAGGGAGGGGATGCTGATATTGTCATTGTGTTCCTGGAGCTCAGAATCAGGGGTTCTACTGTGAATCAGATCACACAGGTGAATTCACTGTCACACACTGTGAAGGGCCATGAGTGAAAAATTGAGGGGAGAAGATCTCAGGGGAGCCGTCCTTACCTGTGAGAGTGGGTTGCTCCTCCCCAAGGGGCATGGCCGAAATCTGAAGTAGGGTAGGAAGGGAAGGAGAAGGAGTGGCATGAGAAATAGGTGGCAGCTCTGCATTACCCCGCAGGAGTGAGGGTGGAGCCCAGAGGGGGTCCTGGGTGGGATTTTGGCCAGATCTGAGAGAACACATGAGGATTCCTGAGGGCCATGGAATACCGTTCAAGGGCTGTAAGCTGGGCAGCCTGAGGGGAGTGGAGGCCGGGGCCCTGTGTGGGGCTTGGTTGTGGATGACACCCAGCACCCCTCTGTGTGGCATCCTGGGGACAGTGGGCTTCCTCTGACAGGACCTTGTGTATGATTAATATTTACTGTTACCCCTGAACTCTAGGGTCCATCAGATACTGAACTCTCAAGACATTGGGACCTTTCCCTGGGGGCCTCAGGCAGGATTCAGGTCTGTGAACATGGGAGCTCAGGGCCTCTGGAAAGAAGGCCACATTGTACCATCTACCCCCAAGGCCTGGGGTGATTTCCACTCTCCCTGCCCCCGCCCTGGCCTAGGCAGCCAGCGCCTGGTGGGTGAGGCCCAGGTAGCAGGAGGGGTGGGTTTTATGGCTGGGATGTGGTCTGTGTAGGCTTGGCTCTCTTGAAATCGGGCCAGTGCAGGATATGTGTTTCCAGCACTCCCTTGAAGGGTGTGGTACTATCTTTGGACTTTTTAGAACTTTCTCTGCTGTTCTGGAAAAGGGCCAACAAGTTCTCATCTATTTGCATCCCATAGAAGGATGCCTAAGACAGAGGTTGCACCCATACAAGTTCTCATCTATTTGCATCCCATAGAAAGATGCCTGAGGCAGAGCTTGCACCCATACCTTTTGGAACCTCTGTGAGCTTGGGGTGATCCTACAGTCACCTCTGGTGTCATGTCACATGCTCATGATGTTGCCATGTGTTAGTGTGGGACGTTCAGTGCCCCTGCCCACGCCAACAGAGGCCTCCAGTTTGCCAGGACTCTGCTACATGGGCACGGGCAGGTTGAACCTGGCACTGGAGGTCCACATTGTCTAACCATGGGTTACTGCGCAGATGCTACCAGGATGGGATGGCCCAGTTCTTGCTCCCCCGCTGCCTCCTGTAGTGCTGACAGGCTCCCCTGATCAAGGGGTTGTGGTCACTTACAGTTGGAAGATGCTTTGTTAAATTTGCTCCTTGATCTGGTGATTGAGTGCCATGTAAAAAACTGCCACAGACAGTAACAGCTTAGCCCAGCTTATTATTATTATCTCACGGCTCTGTGGGGTGGCTGGACTCAGGCCAGGCTCTGTGGGGTGGCCTGGGGTCTGCATGCAGTGACTGAGTTTTGCCTCTACATGCCTGGCTGAGTGGGTGTCTCCCCCACGTGGTTCTGATGTGTGCTACCTGGGCTTCCTCACAGTATGAGGGTCTTGGGGTTCAACTCAGTGTGCGGTGACTGGTTTCCCCAGAGTGGGAAAGGCCCAGACACTGTGGGACCTTGTGGAGCCTTGCTCAGGACCCCCAAAACATCACTTCTGTGGCATTTTGTTGGTCAAGCAAGTGACAGAGGCCAGTCCAGCTTCCAGGGAATGGAAATGAGACCCTGTAGCTCAGTAGATCAGCCGTGAGCACTTTGCAGATGTGTTAAATGACTGTGCATGCCTCTTGGTCATGCCACGCAGGGATGTATTGAGGTGGTTTGAGAAGTCCTGCCCTAAGAAGTCTGTTTAACTCTACGTTGCCCAAACTGATAATTATTGATAGTTTTAAAATCAGGAAATCCCTTTAACAGAAAACCACTTAACCTGAATCCTGCCAGAGAGAGGTGGGTAGAAATTCAAGGGTGATAGATTTGGGGCTTGATGCTGTCTAATAAATATGAGAGGAGCCCCCCCACCCCAAAAAAGAATTAATCTTTTGGAGGGTGGGCCCCTTATACAGTACAGGCTTCCCTGCTAGGTAAGTGTTCTAGGAACCCATCAGCATCGGTGTACCAGTTAGCATTGTTGTGAGAGGCTGCACTAGGCTTCAGTGAATTTTTCTTTTTGGAGGTTCTTTCGACGCATTTGCCCATTTCATGATGGGTGATTTGCAGTGCACCTGCTCATACCAAGCTGAGTGTGTGGCAGTCTTTGACCAAAAACAGCATGACCCCCATGCCCTATTCTCCCTATTCACCCAATTTCACCTTAAGCAACTTTTTTTGTTTCCCTGAATGAAAAAGTTCTCAAAGGGAATTTGAAGAGATTGCCATTGTGGAAGAGAGAAAACAAAAAAGGGCAGAAGCACTAAAATTCATCAAAACTGACAAGTTCAGAAACTGTTTTGAACAGCGGAAAAGGTGTCTTGATAGGAGTATTGCATCAAATGAAGAGTACTTTAAAGAGTACTTTGAAACTGAAGTTTCAACATGTAAGGATAAATACATGATTTTTTATAAACAAATTCCAGCTTTTTTTGGGTCTCCCCTTGTACAACTTTTCAAAGATAGAATTTGGAGATTTGTAGTGAGTTTCTGATTTGGGGGTGTAGCCATGTTGAGCCTGCGCCCCCCCATCTGTGGAACGGAGAGGCCAAACATCCAGAGGTTAAGGCTTTGGTGTCATGTCTCATGGATCTCGGTTTAGACCCAGCTACCTGCTTGGAGCTGTGTCTTGCTGGGCAAGTCCCCTCTCTCTGGGCTCCGGTTTCCTCATCTGCAAAATAAGAATGTCCTATTTCATAGGGTCATTGTGAATATTGAAATCCCACTTGGGGATTGCCTTCCCAGAGCCTGTGGGTGGGTGGACAGTAGCTGTTGATCACTGTCGTTCTTACAATGTATAGAGGACGCCTTCCTGGGCTCAACATTGGGGCTGTCCAGCTGCGTCACTTTAGGGTTTTGTTACTTTGGGGCAAGCTGGGACTGAAAGCCCTGGGCTTGCCTCCACTTTTCTTGCAGAAGTAACCCATGTATCTTTCGCTTTTCTCCACCCTAGTTTCTCATAAGTGACCGTGACCCTCAGTGCAACCTCCACTGCTCCAGAACTCAACCCAAGCCCGTCTGTGCCTCAGACGGCAGGTCCTACGAGTCCATGTGCGAGTACCAGCGGGCCAAGTGCCGGGACCCAACACTGGGTGTGGTGCACCGAGGCAGGTGCAAAGGTGAGTGTCTGTGGCCCTGCCGGCCAGGAGGTGCCCTGAGCATCCCCGGGGAGCATGCAGTGGGTGTCCAGGTGGAGGGAAGGAGAGCTGGTCTTTCCAAAAATGAGCACGTTTCTGTCTTTCAATGCTGCCCCTAGCCCACGGGTTAGAGAGATGTGCATCTGAATGACTGGTGCTTTTTTCTTCTTTCTTTTTAATAGAGTTATTTAAAATGGCAAGATATGATTGCTGGCTCCTGAATAGGGACTCCAAATGGTTAGCTGACTGATGTGTTTTGTTTGCTCTGCTCACATGTTTAAAAACATTAAAAACCATTTGGAGCAACATTTAAAAATTGAGGGAATCAACATAGAATTCTGGCTTTTTGTCCTTTTCTTCCAAAATTGGAAGTTCTGGTAACATGAGGTCTGTATTCCTGCCAAGCAACATAGGGCTAGAGCTGAGTGGCAGCGACCCCCTCTATAGGGGAGCCTGTTTCCAGTTTGCCACAGTCCTCAGCACTCTCTATAACCTCTCTGAACTGAAGGCTGTGCTTCTCATAACCAGCTCGTTTTTCTAATTCACATCACTTTCCTGAGTCCTGAAGATAAATTGGAGTTTGTGACTCTGGACTGTTTTGAGCCACCACAGGAATCATAGGCACCTAAGCCAGCTGCCCTAGAGCTTTTAATTTTCTAAAGTGCTTGCAATTCTTGAGCCATAAAACATCTTGGATCCCCTTGGGCTTCCTAGTTTCAGGGTGATATACCCAGAGAAAGATGAGGCAAGTAAGACATTTTTCTTCCCAGGTGAGGGTAGGAGTACTTGGAAGAAAAGACAGGCAAATCCTGGGATAAGCACGAAACCCCACCCCACTAAGAGTAATGTTCCCAGGAGGCAGGGGCTGAGCCACAGGCACTGTGTGCTAGGCGGACGGGCCAGGATGGGCTCCCCTCAGGTGAGTTTCCTCCAGGCAGCCCTCTGTGGGCAGACATCCTACCCTACCCCTAACTCCAGCAGGATCCAAGTGCAGTGTGAAAATGCTCTCCTATCCCCTTGCAGATGCTGGTCAGAGCAAGTGCCGCCTGGAGCGAACTCAAGCCCTGGAGCAAGCCAAGAAGCCCCAGGAGGCCGTGTTTGTCCCAGAGTGTGATGAGGATGGCTCCTTCACCCAGGTGAGTTTCCGCAGCTCTCTCCTGGCCCGTGCAGGAAGGGGTCCTGAAGCAAGGGCCCTGGCGCCTTCCTTTCAGGGAAACGGCAACAGGAGTGGCCTCTGTGCCTCTCCCCTCCTGGACCCTCCATGCCACCTTCTCCTGCCAGCTGACAGTGAGGCCCAAAAGCTGTGTGGACGCCCGAGTCAGGAAGCTGGCATTGCCTGGTCCTGTCCCCAGCTGGCTCCTCAGAGCCAGCCCCACGTTGTCCACGTGCATCTAATGTGGGCTGAGTATTTTGCATATTCCTGCCAGTTTCCATGGGCAACCCTGATGTTCCCTCCCCTGTTTATGCCTTCCCACTGTGCTTTCTGCTCCCTTCCTCAGGGCAAAGCAGAGCCCTTGCTCAGTACACGGTATGCAGGGTCCTTGGAGTATGGGTGCGTGCACGTGTTTGTGTGTGTGTGTGCAAGCACGGGCACAGGCATGACACACTTAGATTTTAAAACCTCTTTTCAGGCTCAGCACTTTGGGAAGCTGAGGCAGGAGGATCCCTTGAGCCCAGGAGTTTAGGACCAGCCTGGGCAACATAGCGAGACCTCATCTCTAAAAAAAAAATTTTTTTTTTAACCCAACCTTCTTTTAAGGCAGTGCCATTAATAACTCTCATCCCACTTGCTCCTCTGGTTAGCCTTTTGCATAGCAGTAGTGCTGACTGTGTGGATATCGGCATGGACTCTTTCTCAGATACAGGTAGTGGGGAAACACAGATGCTCCTTTGGAAGGTTCTGGGCATCTCCCTCCCACATAGAAGTACATGGCTCACGGGAGCCATCGGGAGGAGAGGCTTCTGCAGGAGTTAGAGGCGATGCTGGCTGGATGAAGGTACTGTCGTAATGAGAGGGGAAGGTCACAGGATGAGGTGACCTGAGCTAAGTGGTCAGGGATGCTCTGATGCCTGCCACTCCTTTCGTCCAGTTGAGCAGCATTTGGGGGCATCCTGCTGTCCTGGAGCCAGGGCAGAGGCTTCCTCATAGTTCCTAATCAGTAGGCTGAAGTGCAGGCTGGCCTATGGGCCAAGGTTTTCAGTTGCATTTCTGGGTGGGCTGTAGGGGATAATCATTGGGTAGAAATGTAGAGGCCTGGGGGGCCTTGAGGGGGTGGGATGTCAGTGCTCAAAGGTTCCCCAGTTGACCCAGACACAGCCAGACTCCAGAGTCCTGGGTTAGACTGACCTTGGCTGCTGACCCTGAGGAAGATGCTTTTCCTGTCTTGCCATTCACGCCTCACCACAAGCCTGTGGATGGGTGTCCTTACCCCATCTACAGTGATGTGACAGCAGTGACTTGTGAGCTGGGCCTGCGCCCAGCCCCTCAACTCCAGAGCCTTCTGGAGCCCCCATGCTGCTCTCGGAGCTGGCAACATCAAAGGAGGCTCTGTGGAGCCCTGGAGGGAGGCAGTCTGGTACTGTGGTCAGCACCAGGCTCCTGGGGCCGGCCTGCCTCGGCATAAAGCCCAGTCTCCACCACCCTGGGCAGGCCCCTGAGCTTCGTGGGGTCACAGATGTTCTTATCTGAGAAATGAAGTTTGAGGTCTCCATTGCTATTATGTATAAGAATTAAAATTGTTATAAATAATAATAATGTTATATATATTATTATTATTACTGTTATTCATTATTATTCACGCTTTCTTTGTAAGGCTTTGATGAGGATGAAATGAGCTAACATATATAAGATGCTTGGACATACATACTCTATAAATATTTGTCATTATCCTCATTATTCTCACCTCTACTGTAGTCTCCTGTTCAGATTTTCCTAAGATTTTGTGGTTGGCACCACTTAAGGAAAAACCCAAAACATTTTGTTGAAGCTCCTGAAGTTTGAAAATAGATGTGCTGTCTCATCAATTAAAAAAAAAATTTTTTTTCAAGACAAAGTCTTGCTCTGTCACCCAGACTGAAGTGCAGTAGCATAATCACAGCTTGTAGTCTTGACTTCCTGTGCTTAGGCAATCCTTCCACCTCAGCCTCCTGAGTAGCTGGGACTACAGGTGCACACCACCACTCCCAACTAATTTTTAAAATTTTTGTAGAAATGAGGTCTTACTATATTAACCAGGCTGGTCTCAAATTCCTGGTTCCAAGTGATCCTTTCTCTTTAGTCTCCCAAAGTGCTGAGATTGCAGGCGCAAGCCACTGCCCCTAGTCCCAGCCTCAATTTTTTATTTACTACTCATTCTAGTAAAAACAATGAGAATGATACTTGTCTTTATTGAAACTGCTTGCTAAGACTTCCTGTCTATGGGGAGGAAATCAAGCCCCTCTCAAATGTGTCTGGGGCAGGATGGGGGAAGGGGAAAGGGAAGGGGAGGAGGCGGTGTCCGTCTGTTGCTAGCGGTTTTTCCCTTCTCTGGGCCGTGCCATCCTGGGCATGTTGTGTATGAGAAAGGTTGACCCCTGCCCTCCAGACTCTGAAGCGTTTGCTGCCTCGTGATCCACAGCCCCCTGGCCAGCTTTTGTTTCAGAGTGGCCAGGCTCAGCCAGGTGGTGTTTGCCAGGGGAGAGGAACTTCCAGATTAGTGCAGGCTGAATTGCTGAACGACAGGGCCCCAAAGTTCTGCAAAGGTTGTGTAGACAGTCAAGAAGCCCCTCATTTGTTTGACAGTCTAAGCACTGCCATGTGTCTGCAGGCTCGAGGCTGCCTCGCCCCAGTGGGCAGTCCAGCAGCCAAACAGCCAGACAGCAGGCCCCTCCAGCCAAAGTGATCAGAACGGATGTGCTTCCCCTGATCAAAGTCACAGCAATAACTTCCCAAAATGAGGTTGCTTCTTTGAGTGTGCTTCAATCACCTTGACAGGCTGCCAGAGCACCGTGAGAGGAATGCTTCCTCCATCCTCAGCTGCCACTGTCACTTAGACCTTTTTTTTTTTTTTAACCAAAACCCAGAGACAAGCTACATTGCTTTAATATTCTGTAGGAAACAAGGCCAGGCACAGTGGCTCACACCTGTAATTCCAACACTTTGGAAGGCCGAGATGGAAGGGTTGCCTGAGCCCAGCATGTTGAGGTTGCAATAGCACAACCACCGTACTCTAGCAGGGGCAGCAGAGTAAGACTCTGACTCAAAAATGTAAAAAAAAAAAAAAAAAGAAAGAAAGAAAGGAAGACTATCGATATGCATGCATCCTGTGTTGATAACATATTTTAGCTCTGTGAGCTATTACACAGTAAACTTGTCTTGAAGTTTATGGAAGGGGTAATGGGACTCTGATGGGGTTGGGTTTGTCTGTCGTGGGATACAGCTTGAGACCACGTGACCGAGGTGGCTTTTATGAGCTTCATGTGAGACCCTCAGCTTCTGCTCTCTTCCTCTGTTTCCTCCAACCCCAACTGACACATGTGAGTGGCTCATCTTCCTTCTATGGCAGCAGCACTAAACTCCACATTAGATCATGTTAGATTTCTAGAAGTCTCAGTTCCTAGGCCATATCCCAGACTATTAAATAAAATTCTAGGAGCGGGACCCAGATATATTTTTTCAAGCTCCCCAGGTGATGCCAGTGTTCAGTCAGTTTCGAACCACTGTTACAACAGGAATTCATCACTAGTTTGTCGATTGCCTCAGTGGGATGTGGGATTGAGCTCCTCTAGTGGCCTGTAGAGTAAGGTGAGTAGCTCCGGGCTTTGTCCTTTGCTGTGGTTTTACCTGCTTTCTCTTTTGGGTATTAGGAACAGAATTTCTGACATCTGTTTTACCAAGTTATCTGCCAACCAGTTGTCTGGTGCCTAAGCTGATTAACTGAAACCTCAGCTGCAGTGGCAGGGTATTGGGTTGGCACCGTGTAGCAGTGTTGGCTGGAGTTTGACACACGTGGGCATCTCTGGAGGATAATGCTGTCGACTCTTTACTGAGTGCTACCAGGTGCTGGGCATGAGTTTCACACCCATTAATCTTCACTGCACGGTTTTGAGGTAGTTATGAATACCCTTATTTATAAAGGAAAACTGAGTTTCAGAGGGGTTGGGTCTCTGGCTCAAGGTCTCTGAGCTAATAAGGACTTGTACTCAAGCCTGCCTGATTTCAAGGCCTGTGCACCTCACTTTTCTGGGCTACAGAAGTGGCCTTGATGCATATTATTCCATTTTCATGACCATTGTCATTCCAGAAGTTCTCTCTCTTATGCTGCTGACTTTTGATTGTGGAAATTTTAAAAAGTACAAAAAATAGAAACAACGCTGTCATGAACTCTTATGTATCTACCGCCAGCTTCAACAATGACTGACGTGTGGCCAGTTCTGTTTCATCTTTGCCCCATTTTCATCTCTCACCTCAAACTGGACTGCTTCAAAGCAGATCCCTAGACACAAGATCCTTCCATCTCACTTTTGGGCTCTGCTGAACTCTGGGCTGTGTATTGGTTGCTGTGCAGTATTCAAAAAATGTCGTGACCTCTGTCTTCAAGGAGTTTATAGCAGGAAAGATGAAGACACATGATCAAGTAACTGTATAAAAGGCCATATACATACAGCTGTTGATACTTCAAAAGCCCAATTACAAATCAGTTATTTGAAGTTCTGAATGCATTTTATTTTTGAGAAAATATATACAAATGTAAAATTTGGGGACATAAACACCTTGAACAAAACTAAAAACAAAGCTGGGCGAGGTGGCATGTGCCTGTAATCCCAGCTACTTGGTAGGCTGAGGCAAGAAGATTGCTTGAGCTCCAGAGTTGGAGGCTGTAGTGCTCTATGTTTGTGCCTGTGAATAGCCACTGCACTCAAGCCTGGGCAACACAGGGAGACTCTGCTCTAAAAAACAAGCAAATCAAAAACTAAAAGAAAATGGTACACATTAGTCTTAATGACAAGAATTAATTGTATGTAAAGAGCTCTCACAATTCAGAAAGAAAAGGATCCTAGTAGAAAAGTAGGTGAGAGTTTTCAGCAGGCAGGTCACAGGATGGTTGTAAATAGCCAGTGAATAGGGATGGTGTTGTCCCCGTAGTCGTAAAAAAAG